TCTCCAGCACTGGCCACCATACCACTACCCCGTACAGAAGTATGGGCCTCACCACGGCGGCGTATATCCAGTGCACTAGCTGCGGGGTTAAACCCCATTTTTTCCGATTGCTCTCCTGCAGCTGTATAGGGCAACCGTGGCCTTCCGCACCCGCTCTTCGGTGTTTTGAGTCCAGCTTAATTTTTTATCTAGGACTATCCCCAGGTATTTAGCGGATTCGCTTAATTTTAGTGTGGTCTGTGCCAGCCTTGGTGTTATCAATGGGGGGATTTTGTACCTTCTTGTGAACAGTACAAGTTCTGTCTTGCTTGGGTTTACCCCTAACCCGTTATTTTTTGTCCAACTCTCGACTTCCTTCAGTTTTACCTGCATAATGTCACATAGAGTCTGTGGAAATTTCCCACTTACTGTTAGTGCAAGATCATCCGCATACGCAATAACCTTACAGCCACCCCCCTCCATGCCACACAGCAGTGAGTTTACCGCTGCGACCCATAATAGAGGGGATAGGACTCCCCCTTGCGGGGTGACCCTCTACGATCCTGGTCAACGATACTCCCGCCAGCTCCGCCCGAACCACCCTGCATCTCAGCATTTGGTTTACGAGCGCAACTAAGCGCGAGTCGATGCCCAGGCCCGTCAGTGCTGTCGTTATCGCGCCCGGCATGATGTTGTTAAAGGCGCCCTCTATATCCAGGAAGGCTGCTGGCGTACATTCTTTGATGTCTAGTGATCTTTCTATATGCGACACTATTTCATGTAGCGCCGTTTCTGTAGATCTACCTTTCGTATAAGCATGTTGTGTGGTAGAGAGTCCGTCACCAACCGACTCTCTGCTACGGACCTCCACCAGTCTCTTCATAACCTTCAATTGAAATGACGACAAGGTGAGGGGCTGAAATCCTTTGGGTTGTTGTGGGACACCTTCCCTGCCTTGGGGATGAACATCACTCTTGACTCCCTCCACTTTCTAGGGATATGATTAAGAGCTAATACACCCTTGATTATAGCGTGAAGCCACGCTGAGCTTAGCTTAAGCTTAAAAGTCCCAATAGACCAGATGACCTTTTCCCTAGTGAGGAAGACTCCAGTGACCGAAAGATCTCCAGTTAGATGTGGCTGCACCGGCATGCCGTCCGTGGCACCGGGAAGTGTGTGCAAAGAAGCAGATCCCGTGATTCCTCCTCGGTCTCAGTCCAGGAGCCGTCAGGTCTTTGCAAGCATCCTGGGGCTTTCTGGGCAGCACCTGAGAGTATCTTTCTGAGCCTGCCTGCCTCTGAGATAGACTCCACCCCGTTGCAGAAGTCTTTCCATGAGGTTCTTTTCGACCTTCATAGGAGCTTCTTGTACTCCCGTAACGTTGTCTTGTAGGTCTCCCAATGTCCCTCACTACCAGACGCAGTGGCCTGGTTGAAGGTTTTCCTGCAGTTCTTGCGTGAAAACCTGATTTCTTCATTCCACCAGGGTGGCTTTTTCCTACCCCGGTGCTGCTTTTTGGGGTATGCAATGTCAATTGCCTTACTGCAGGCCCCCGTAAAATGGTCGACAAGATATTCCAGCTCCTCTAGGTTTGCTGGAGTAGTCGGCTCTCTATCTTCTGGCAAAAGCCTATCCAGCTCTTCCCGATACCTATGCCAGTTGGTATTTCGCAAGTTTCTAGTTAGAGGAGCCTTGGGCATTCCCCCTACTACCTCGAATTGGATATATCGGTGGTCGGAAAAGGAGTGCTCCTCGAGCACCTTCCACTTCCCGACCAGACATTCCGCATTCTCAGAGATAAGGGTAACGTCCAGCACTTCCCTTCGGGATTTTGTAATAAAAGTGGGATCGTTCCCCCTATTTGCAATAACAAGCTTAGAGCTAAGTATTAAATTAAAAAGTGACTCACCCCGTTCGTTATTGTCGGAGCTGCCCCAGGTATGATGGTGAGCATTTGCATAACCTCCCAAAATTAGCGCCTCCCTCGTGCTGGCCACTAGGTCCTTAATGCAGATAATTGGCACCTCCTTGTCGTGAGCTAGGTACATGGATGCCATCTTAATTGGTCGTCCGTTAACACTTAGACTGACCGCTGTTGTGTCCTCGTCGCTAAATTGTGGAAGAAAGAGACACTTTAGTGTGATACTTATCAATATGCACGTCCTTGGTTTCGCCGTTGAGGCTCCAGTCTGTAGCCCGGCGCTTTCAGCCCGCAAATGTTTTGTCCCACCACCAAGGTTCTTGGATTAGGACGATGTCGGCTGTCCCTTTAGCTGTTAGATGGAGCAGCAGTGCAGCTGAAGCTGCTTTACAGTGGTGAAGGTTAATCTGCAATACCTTCACCATTTTGGCCATTATCGCCCACGTCGCCTATTAGGGTGGAGTTGACCGCGTCTTTCGACATCTCGATCAACTCCTCCTCCGTATAAAGCCGAAGCATGCGTCCGACCCCCAGCGAAGACGTCGATGAGGCATCCATAGGATCAACCTGCTCGGATTCCTCCTCCATCTCCACGTCGCTGTTGGCCTCCTCCGGCTCTACCTCCGCGATGAGGTTCTTCGCTGCGTTTACGTCGTTGATGTAGACCTTAATTTTGGCCATGTCGCAGCCGTACCGTATCACCCCGCTCTTTTGCTCCAGCAACTCTATGAAGTCCTTATTAAGAAGCAGGACAACCTGCATTGTCGCTTTACCGCTTTCATTTATTTTCACCACCTTCCAATTTTCGGTAGGTAGCTCCGAGTTGTAGAGCCTTATGGTATCCAGGATCCTTTCGGGTTCCGCTGGCTTGCAAGGCAACCATGCTCTCGCTCTCGGTCGCACCGGTAGGTCCTTGAAGTCGACCGCCCTGAGCTTCGCACCAGGGTAGACTTCTCCAATGCCTGCGACTGTCTTCTTATATATATCCGCTTATCTAGCATCCTGGCATGCTATAGCCCGGATGTTATTTTGGAACCACCCCGCTCCCTTGCAGGTTGGCGGAGGTCCCGGATTCTCCAACATGATGGCGATGTCTTCATCGCTCACGTCAATGACGCCAAGCAGGATCTGCTCCTTGGCTACTTCAGCAAAAGAAGGCCTCTGCGTTCTGACCCTCTTTGCATTGTTGGGCGTATTTTCCCCCGATCTATTGCGCTTACTGGAGGGCGCCTGCGGCTGTCTCTCCTCCGGCTTGCGGTAATCGGGCAGGACTGCCTTCGCCCAGTCGATTTTTGTGAAGATCTCCTTCACATGCTCTGCCTTCGCCTTACTACACAGGTCAGGAGTAGTGGTGAACCTTTGCAGGATTCCTGCAGCCATCTTCTTCTGTCGATAGCCCGCTGTAGCTGGTTATGGCCTCTGGTCAGGCCTCGTGAAGGCCGTGGGTGTCGCGGGAGGACCGCCCGAGGCCTGCGCCCCAGATTCAGCCTTATCTCCGGCTGCAATCTGCATGCCAGTTTGGCATCCACTGGTGCCAGCAGTTTCCTGGGGTGGACTCCTTTGAACATCCCCACCGCCGCTTTCCTTCTTTTTTGCAGGAGCTTGGCCCGGTTTAACCATTGGCCTTGGTTTCCCGCTGTTTGTCACCGCACTACGGCTGGTGGAGGTACTCTCCATCGCTTGAGCCCCTTCTTTAGTGGGCCGAGGCCCTTCCGACGCCTTAAGGGGGCCGGTCCCTTTATAGTTTGTTTTTGTTGTTGTTGTTGTTTTTTGATTTTTTTTCCATATTTGTTCCCACGGGCTGCGGAGAAAGGGGGTCGTCCACCCGGGCAGAGATCCGCGATGCCCAGGTAAGGCCTACTTACATCCTGGGTGTGGCCGCCTCCCAGAGGGCTCCGTTCGCGACTGGGCTATTTAGGGGCCCCCAGCCTGGCCTATCCTCGGTACGGTGCGCATGACGCCTTGATCCAGCCCCTTCAGACCTCCAAACCACGATCAAAAACCATTTCCATATGACTAAGCTATTAAGGAGTTTAGCACATAGCACTGATTCCTGATCTTAGCTGAGCAGCATTCTGACATCGCACACAATCCTCTGTAGTGCCCATTTCCAGTCGGCACCCTCGTGGAGGGTTCAGCCGGAGGATTTTTGCCGACCATGGCAGCGGAATACGGGACACAAAATAATTTTGCTAATGCAAAAGTCTTGAAACAGAATTTGCTTAGCATTGAAACAGCATTTTATTTGGCATATATTTGTCGATATTTTGTGAATAATGCAGCACATAAATATTCGGTTGTAACGTGTTGTGCTACCCACTAAAACCCAAACTCCCACCGCTCGCGCAAGAATCCCGCATCTGGCACCGCAATTCTGCATGTCTTCAGATGCAGGAGCGCGCTGCTAGAGCCTCGGGGCTGCTCTTTTGTATGGGCGTTTCATTCGGGTGTCCCCAGTAGACATCCGTCCTCTCGTTTGCAGCGGAGTACGAATTTCACGTATCTCGCAACTGCTTCCCACTTGTCTGCACTGGAGCTCATTACCCTAATTATGTTGTTCGGAGTTATGTCTCTGTATGTTTCTTCCAACATTCTGAACAGAACGGTGAGTGCACCCTGCGGCAACGCGAAGCGAACAACGAGAAATAGGCAGAATGTTCGAGGAATGACGTAGAATGTTTCACGAAGAGAAACGTCAGTTGGATGAACACTGCAAACAGCGAGAGAAAGAGAATGAGCGATGAACTTCAGAACGTTCGAGAGTTGCCATGAGTGCGAGCGCAGGTATATAAGAGCCACGACACAGCGGAGTTGAGTTAGTTACGAGTTACAAGTCAGCAAGCTACAAGTAAAGTGAGCAGAGAAGTGAGTTGCGAATAAGCAAGCTATAAGTTTAATTGTGTTAACAAGTTTATTAAAGCGTTGTTATTGCTTTAACAAGTATTGTAAAGTGTTTTTACTGTATTAGCGAATATTGTAAATTGTTTGTTGTACAATAAAGTTAATTGTACTACAGTTTGGTCATCGTTAGTATTTATTTAACAATCCAGAGATGCGAACTGCAAGATATTTGGGAAATCCCTCGAGATTTCAAGGATGATCGTAACAATTGGTGTCAGAAGTGGGATTCTTAAATAAATCCCGAAGGATAAACTTTTGAAAATAGCAAAAATTCAGGATTTAAAGATTGAGGAACTCAAACGGGATTTGGAGAAGCGAAATTTAGCAACCTCCGGAAGAGAAGTGGAGTTACTATCACGGCTGCGAGAGGCTATGGAAGCAGAAGGCATCGACGTGGACAAATATGACTTCCAGGGTAAACTCGACGATGCANAGCGTAATTTGGCCACCTCCGGAAGAAAAGTGGAATTATTATCCCGTTTGCGGGAGGCTATGGAAGCTGAAGGCATCGACGTGGACAAATACGACTTCCAGGGTAAACTTGACGATGCATTCGCAAAGGATGAACAGAAGGACGAGGCCGCTTGTTCGTCGAAGGATGTGCAGCAGACATCCGGGAAGGTTGAAGAACAGCAAAAGTCTCTAAGTTCATCAACAGCTATGGACATGAACACGTTATTGGCTGCCATGTCACAGATGTCATCAGAGATTTCATCCCAGCTGCAAGTGCAGGGAACACGCATATCATCGCAGCTAGATGAAAAGATTACTCAGTTACAAGAGAATTTATTCAAAAATAACTCGGAACTCAGAGAGAGACAGATAAAATCGAGGAACGACAAGATAAAATCGAAGCGCTTATTAAGGAAAAACAGGACAAAGCCGAAGCTAAGGTGGATGAGCTTGAAGATCGTCTCCGGGGTTTGCTGTTGAATCGTCCAGCTAATTCGACGAACGCTCCCAAGGTAAAGACTCCATCTTTTGATGGCACTATTCCTTTCCAGGTCTTTAAGCTCCAGTTTGAGAACACAGCTACAGCAAATCACTGGAACATGGAGGATAAATCCGCTGCACTGTTCGTTGTAAAGGACCTGCAGCGGAAATCTTGCAGACTATTCCTGATTGTGAAAGGAACAGTAACGATGCGTTAATGCGTGCAGTGGAAAGACGTTATGGTAGCGAGCACAGGAGACAGATTTACCAGATGGACGATACAAAGGAAATGCTGAAGAAGCTAATCCAACTGCTGGGCGAGAAAAAGCATGGCTCTGGCAAATGTTTTAAATGTGGAAAGCCAGGCCACTTCGCCCGCGATTGCAGCGCAAGTTCCAGTGGGCTCAACAATTCAGCAGGACGCAGACGCAGGGCTGAAGGAAGCCAACTCCAATCATTCGTTAAACTGAAACGAGCCAGCAGGAAGGGCCGCGTGCTGGCTCCAGAAGTTGAAGGGCTCATAATCTCCGTCTCACAAATTGGCCGGAAAGCATGCAACCTCACTGTTGGTGGATGTGTGAATGGGCAGAAGAGAGTACTGACAGTGGATACTGGAGCAATACATTCCATTATTCGACCGGATTTGGCCACTTTTTATGTGAAGCCACTACCTGGAGCAAAGCTGCAGACTGCAACTGGTGAATGCACCAAAGTGTTAGGAGAAGTACCATGCGAGGTTAAAATCGACGCTGTGGCCTCGTATACTAAGTTTATAGTGGCAGACATTGTGGATGAAGTCATCATCGGCGTGGATTTCTTACTTGGCCAAGGCATGAAGATTGACCTCCATAGAATGATCCTGACAGATCGTCACAGGAAAGTGCCACAAGTTGGGCAGAGGTTGACAATGATGGAGACGAAATGGTTTCGTCAGGAGAAGGAAGTGGTTCACCGATACAGGAAAAGCGTGACGGTTCCGCCAGCTCAGTGAAGAAGAGGTCGCAACAAGGAAGTGGTCATGGCAAGCCAGGCAGTGTTTCCGGCAGGAGGAAAGCCGCTAAACCACGTTGCAGTGGTTATACGCCGGTGGCCGGAAATGGAAGCGGCTGTGGGAGCAGTAGGCGTGCTTTGAAGTGTCCCGAAAAAGACGAAGTGGTCGTCAAAGGCGAGCAGTTAAGCCGGAAGCCAAGGGCGAGATTATACATGTCCGGTCAATGAAGCTAGCATCGGCGGAAGGGCGAGATACGAAAGGACGGCGGAAGCTTCAGCGTAAGGATCTGGATTTAGCAAGATGTGCTAAAGGCAGCGCAGCACGAAGGCGGGAGTCTGGGTGTCATGGACAGATGATGCGGCATAGATCTGGCGAAAAGGGTGCCCACGAGAAGAGACATGGTCTGGTCACCACCAGTGGCCGGCAGAAGCACGACCATGTGAGATGGTGCACTCCCGCAGATAAGCCGGAAGCAATGCCCAGTAACGCATTGTGGTTGTACATGTCGCAGCAGAAGAAAAGCTTTACCTCCAAGCAAAGACTTGACTGGAAAGATCCGTTTAAGATTGACAAACGGCTGAAAGACGAAGCGCATCGAACCCAGACAATGGGGAGACCGAGGACCAAGATGAAAGTGGTCCACTTGGAAAGGCTTGCAGC